ATGTTCTGTTAAATGCATTGCTGGATTCGATTTGCTTACATTTTGTTGAGGATTTTAGTATCTGTGTTCATCAAGGATATTGGCCTGTAGTTCTCTTTCTTTGTGGTGTCTTTATCTGGTTTGGGAATTAGAGTAATGCTGGCTTCATAGAAAGAGCTTAGAAATGTGCCTTCCTCTTGAATTTTTGGGAATAATCTGAGGAGGATAGGTTTTAGTTCTTTGAATGCTTTCTAGAACTCTCCTGTAAAGCTGTCCGGACCAGGGATTTTGTTTGCTGGAAGATTTTTGATTACTGCTTCAATTTCTTCAGTTATTATCGGCCTATTAAAATTTTTTTATTCTTCCTGATTGAGTTTTGGAAGCTTGTATTTTTCTAAGAATATGTCCATTTCATCTAGGTTGTCCAGTTTATTGGAATAGAGTTGTTCATAGTAATTTTTCATAATCTTTTGTATTTCTGTGGGGTTGGTTGTTACTTCACCTCTTTCATTTTTCATTTTGTTTATTTGGGTCCTCTCTCTTTGCTTCTTGGTGAGCCTGGCTAGAGGTTTGTCAATCTTGCTTTTCCTTTCAAAGAACAAGCTCATGGTTTTATTGATTTGTTGTTGTTGTCTATGTTGTTTATTTCTGCTCTGATCTTTATTATTTCCTTCCTTCTGCCTACTCTGGGCTTTTCTTGTTGCTCTCTTTCTAATTCTTTGAGTTGTAGGGTGAGATAATGTATTACCATTTTTTCTTGTTTTTTGAGGTAGGCCTGTAGAGCTATGAACTTCTCTCTCAAGATTGCTTTCACTGTGTCCCATATATTTTAGATTTTTGTGTTTTCATTATTGTTTGTTGCCAGGATGCTTTTTATTTCTCCTTTGATCTTTTTGATAACTCAATCATTGTTTAATAGCATGCTATTTAGCCTTCAGGTGTTCGATTTTTTTTCATTGTTTTTACTGTAGTTGATTTCTCAACTCACATTTTTAATTTCTTAAAAATATCCTCTCTGCTCTTCAACTCTTTATAATGAGCCCTCAGCAGCCCACTGTTCCCTGCATGTGCATCTGGAGTTAGAGCTGCCCTCTCCACTGTCTGCTGGTCTGCAGAGCAGTTAGCCTCAGAAGCTCTTTCACTCCAGGAGGCTTGGAAATCAGATGTACTTAGTGGAGGAGCAGTTTTGCTACTTCCTTAACTTAAATAAGAGTTAAGAGATTAACTTAAAAGTAAACATCATTTCTATCCATTGCTTTCACTTTTCATTTTGGCACAAATTCGGACCCCCTTGGAGTTCTGTTCTGCAGGGAAGCACGGTTTGGGGCTGGACTCAAGTTCTGTCTTTCCCGTGATGTCAAAGCTGCGGTCTTTGTGATGATAATAGATAATCACTGTGATTGAACACTGTTCTACTTTTTAACTCAGCCCTGGTTGGTAGATGCTGTTATTGTTCCATTTACCAGTAGAGCCCAGGAGAGAGGTACAAAGGGGTTACATCACTGAGAGTCAGCTAGCTGGTTCAGAAGCAGAGTGGAGAGGCTGAGCACGGCCCTCATCCAGCTGCCCCCTGGAACCTGTCTGGGAGGTTTCCCTCCACAGGAAGTGCCTTTCTGAGCACAAGGCCCTGTTTGAAGGCCCCATGTGTCCATCTTCTAACCTCTCATGTTTCCTGATTCCTTTCTCTAAAACTATAACCTATTCCTCTGTGATTTTCTCCTGTGGTGACTCTCTTCTAGTGGCTCTTCCAACACTGAGCAACCCTTTCACTCACACGGGCAATTGGTAAACCTGGCACAACTATGAGGTCCCTCTTATCCCATTCTCTTAAAATCTCTGTTTAGATTAAAAAGTCCCAAGCAAAAAACTTTTCACAGTACTCAGTAATGAACTCATAAGCCAGCGATTTTCAACCTTTTTCATCTCATTGCATACATAAACTAATTACTAAAATTCTGCAGTACACCAAAAATATATTTTTTTGCCAATCTGACAAAAATTGATTTTTTGCCAAATAATTGATTCATTCACACTGGATGGCTATTGTTATGTGGGCTGTTGACCTTTTTTTATTTGATAGTCTAAGGCAGTGGTTCTCAACCTTGGCTGCACATTAGAATCACCTGGGAATCTTTTTAAAATCCTGATTTCTGGGCCTCATCCTCTGAAAATTCTGTTTCTTTGTTATGGGGTGGGGCCACAACATTAGTAACAAACAGAATTTCCAGAGGATGAGGCCCAGAAATCAGGATTTTTAAAAGATTCCCAGGTGATTCTAATGTGCAGCCAAGGTTGAGAACCACTGGTCTAAGGGAAAAGAGGTCCTTGCCCCTGACCAAAGTAGCCAGGTGTTGCATGTTTTAAAAATTGTTGCAGCATACCGGTTGAAAATCGCTGTCATAAGCAGTTACTAATGGTTTGTAGACTGAGTTGGTTGTCCTGAGGCAGTCACAGCTGTTTTGCTGTGATATTTTAATTTAACTCCATGCTTGCAGTTAAGGTGTGTAATCCCACCACATCTTTTATTCTTGAGGCTTAGCTGGGTTTAGTCACTTCATGATTTGTCTAAACCAGAGTGAGTATCTTGAAACCTTGGTGAGAAGAAACTCCTGTCCATACTCTGCTGTGGGCACCGAGCACAGAATCCCTGTTAGGAACCAGGTGCCTTTGTGTTTTCTGGCAACCATGCTCCCTTCCGCCCACTGCACCCCTCCAGCTGCCGCTCCCCTCTCACAGTATGTCCTCGTTGTGACTGTCACATTCAGGGTTCTGCCACACTCCTCGCTGTCCATGTGCGTGACCGGCACCTGCATTGGCACATTGCCCAGCTCAGAGCCGTTGGATGTCCAGCCGATGAGGAGGCCTTGTGTCCCCGGGATGAGGATGCGCTCCGCAAAGTCCTGCTCGGGCATACAGATGGGGAGCCCCATGTCTGGGCACTGGATGGGCAGCTCCAGCTCCAAGAGCGAAATGTCATTGTCCCCCGTCTCCTCCTCATACATCATGTGCACATGGATGCGCTTCACCTCGATCATCAGTGGGTCCTTGCTCATTCTAGGAAAATCTGAAATAATGGACAATCACTGGCTTTTGTAACCTAAAGCCTGGTTTTCAGGTTACAATAATATGAAACTAATTTCTCAGTGAACCCTGGGACAAGGCAGAGGCTGGGCACGATAAAACATGCCATGCCTAATGTCCTGATCTCCTTTCTTCATCTATGGAATGAAGTGTTCCAACTAATTCCTCATACTCCTCCTTTAAAAATCAAAATGAGCCCTAACCAGTTTGGCTCAGTGGATGGAGCGTCGGCCTGCAGACTGAAGGGTCCCAGGTTCGATTCCGGTCAAGGGCATGTGCCTTGGTTGCGGACACATCCCCAGTAGGGGGCGTGCAGGAGGCAGCTGATGGATATTTCTCATGGATGTTTCTAACTATCCCTCTCCCTCTCTGTAAAAAGTCAATAGAATAAAAAATAATAAAATAAAATTAAAAAATGGAAGATTTTAAAATCAAAATGAGTTATTTTGGTGAAGTGGTAAAATAAACTAGGGGAACTTCTTCAAACTAATCAAAACTGGGCTGGTCAGAAGTAATTTTTCAGGTTGACATTTCATTGACTGAAAAATATTCAAGGACGAGGAGTGAAATATAATAAGGTTCTTTGGAATCATAATAGAGCACTTTCCCAGATTATCACTGAACCTTTGCGACCTCCCTACAGGACAGAAGTTACTGCCCAGTTTTCACTGATGAGGACTGAGGCACAGAGAAGTTAGGTGGGGAGCTCCTTGTCACAGCTGTGGCCTTGGGTGACAGGGGAGTCTGAACCCAGATCTTCTGACTTTCAGTCAGTTATCTGCCTGATACCATAGCCTCCCCATTTCAGTATCAAATTACATTGTATTTTTATCAGCCGTGACTTCCTCAGACTGAATATTAGCATTTGTCTGCTTGCTATGCATAGATATTCCACCAGGTATATTACATATGCTTTCCCAGTTTATAAGTACCTCAGTAGTATTAAAGCTAAATTCAGTTCTATACTGCCTTAAAAACTAAACTCTAGTTTTTAAATTTTCATTCTACATAGGATACTGTTTATTTCCAACATGGTCTTATAAAAATGAGTGCTAAAATACTTACTGGTTTTCACACTGATATTTCTGTGTAACAGTGAACATTTTGCTGTTGTCAACACAAAATTTTCCTCTATTATAACACCACCACAGAAGTCATTTCCTTCGGAATCTATTAGTTTTACCTTTAAAAAAAAAAAGACAAAAAAAATAAGACAGACAATAGCTAGTGGTGAAAATTAACAGGATTGGGGCAGTATAGTCTGATGGTTAAGAATATGGGTTCCAGCCCTAGCCAGTTTGGCTCATTGGCCTGTGGACTCAAGGGTCCCGGGTTCGATTCCAGTCAAGGGCACATGCCCTGGTGGTGGGCTCGATCCCCAGTCGAGGGCATGCAAGAGGCAGACAATGATTCTCTTCATCATTGATGTTTCTAACTCTCCCTCTCTGAAGTCAATAAAAATATATTTAAAAAGAAAAGAAAAAAAAGAATATGGGCTCCAAAGATAGCCATTGAAGGAGTATCAGCTGAAGGTACAGTGGACTGACAAAGCAAAGATGTATAATTAGCCTATAGCAACCACTATGCAAAAACAATTCTAGTCAATTAGCTAACGAAGGTAAAACAATAAAAAATTAAGTAATTCAATAGAAGGCAGAAAAAAGGAAAGAACAAGTGGGAAAAATAAAAACAAATAGCAAAATTATGAATTTAAGCCTACCTAGATAAGTAGAAAATGGTCTAAATATCCCATTAAAAAAGCAGGGGTTTGTCAGATGTATAAAATTAAAAGCCAACTATATACTGCCTATAAAACATACTGTAAATATAATTTAAAAGATTGGAGGGGGGATTACATGTTAACAGTAATCAATAGTGTCAATACCAGACCAGCAAGACTTCAGAACAAACACTGTGTGAGGTTATTTTGTGGATTAAACAAAAGAAAAAAAAATGTATCCTCATAGCATAGGTGCTAGCTCAAGAAATGTTGCTTATAATTTTTAGTAGCTTAATAAAATGAAAAATACTAAGCAAAGTATAAATGTTTTTCAAATTTAATGTAGCCTCATTTCTGAAAATCTTAAGTGTTTATTAATAATAGTTACCATGTATTAACTACCTATAGAAGTCAGGTGCATTTTCTTTAACCCTCACTACAATTCTTGTATTACTGTATTTTATAGGTGTATAACACCAAGTTTGAGGGAAGACGGCATTTTCAGCATCAGTGTGCTAGACTTGTAGTAAAATGCAGTGGAACATAGTGTCAATTTCTTACCTAGAATGGAAGAAACAAGTTGTAATGATAATTTTCAACTCTATATCCTAGGCCAGTTAATTCAGTTAAATAATTTCAGAACTATTTATTATACCAGAGTAAAAATCTAATAGTATTTAGCTTGCCTACATAAGTGTGTCTGCAAACGTGTTTGATTTGTATGTAGAGAATGCTTACCTCACAGGTAATATAGCTCCTGGTCTTGTTGGTACTAACACTACTTCTGTAGATGAAAATGGCCACTAAGGTCCCCTTGAGTGGGCTAGGAGACTGAAGGTGGTGCGCTTGGCAGAACTAGAACACCACCGTCATCCATCCACCAGTCCCCACTCCCCATGTTCTGAGGTCTGCCTTAGTGCATTGATGAAGATGATAAGAGTGCAAGTATGAATAAGAGGGTCTTAGAAAGTTTAAGGAATATGATCCTATTAACCAATGTCACCTCAATAAATTTAATTTAAAAAGAGAGAGAGAACAAGGAGAAAAGGCAACAGAAGATCAAGTTCACCAGCTGATAACTGGGCCATTCTGGTTTTGTCCCTTCCCATCATTTTATCTCCCTTCACTCAGTTTCCTTTCAACTCTGGGTCATTGCAGTGGTTACTGAGCTCTCTTCAGTTGTCTGCCTAGGGCTCCTCCTAGCAGCCAGTGATTCTGCTGGCTCAGCCGGCTTAAAGTGTTCGACACACACACACCGAGGCGCAGTACTCACAGACCCTGTAAGGAAACTGCGAACGCTAGGCTGTCCAACGTGGCAGTCACATGTGGTTACTGAGCATTTGACAGGTGACTGGTCCCAATTGAATGTTCTCCAAGGGTAAAACACACCCCAGATGTCAAAGATTGGTAATGAAGAAAAGATGTAAATAGCTCAATTTTTTATACTTGTTACATGTTGAAATAATAGTATTTAGACATATTGGAGTACTGCTAAATAAAATTCACTATCCAAATTCATTTGATCTGCTTTACTTTCATTAGTGTGACTAGGAAATTTCAGTTACATGTGCAGCTTACATTATATTTCTATTGACAGGGCTATTCTAAAGGGTGTACTTCAGGCCCTGGCTGGTGTAACTCAGTGGTTAGAGTGTTGGCCCATGGACTGAAGAGTCTCAGGTTCAATTCCTGGTCAAGGACATATACCTGGGTTGCAGGCCAGATCCTGGCTGGGGTGCCTGCAGGAGGCAACCAATCGATGTGTCTCTCTCACATTGATGTTCCTCTCTCATGGTGATGTTTCTCTCTCTCCCTCTCTCCTTCCTCCCTTCCACTCTCTCTGAAAATCAATGGAAAAAATATCCTCTGGTGAGGATTAACAAAAACAAAAACCCACAAGTAAAAAAGGTGTCCATTAAACAAAAAAGGTGTACAAATAAAAGAGATGATCTGCATTAGAGGCAAGAAAAATGGCAAACATATGTAAATTAAAATCTACATTGGTGATATAAGCCATAATAATAAAAGCAATACTTATTTTATGGAATTATTGAAAAAGCAAGAAAAGAATGAAATGCTGGTTAAAATAGCAGATGGCTGTTGTGAGGTGCTTGAAATAACTTGGCGGGAGGATGAAAATACTAACTTTATATATTGGCACATTATAAATGAATCTTTAAATGTCAAGAGTGGCCATCTATAATAATCTATAATAATAAAAGCATAACGTGAAAATTAGACCAGACGTCCTTCCAGACAACCTTCCGGACAAAGCTAGGGCTGCAAGAAAAGCCCGGGTCCCGGGTGCCAGAGGGAAGCCGGTGCCAGCAGCCGGGGGAAGGAAGGCCTACTCTTGCATGAATTTCATGCATCGGGCCTCTAGTTAAATATAAATAGAATATTTAACTTCCAAACCAGTCAAGGGGGGAAATCAGAAAATAACAAAAATGAATGCCAAAGAAGAGAAATTTCCTCCATACAATAGTGGAGCTGGAGTACCAGCTAGGAGGCTGGGGAGTGGAGAGCCTGTGTCCTTCACTCTGGCCACCTGCCTTTCCTGTGGTCACTCGCCAGGCCTATGTCACCTCACCCATCCAAGTGCGACTCCAGGATACCTATGGTCTGAGAGAAATGACATTGGGCCTAGGGTGGTTATAAATAAAACTATGTTTTTATTTGGTGAAAGAATGAAGACCGCTAAAGTTGCAAATTCGGCATTAGAAAGTGCTCTGAAGTAGGACTTTGAGATTAATGGTTCGCTTAAATCAAAAATGCCTCTTTCACTTAGTCATTATGTTTCTATTTGGTTGGCAAAGACCATGGAAATGACAAGGAGGATGAAACCTGTAACTAAAAGTGAAAACATGTTTATAAAATGTTTCTGTTACCTGCCATGGGAAAATCTGAAGATTCCGCCAGCTCCTCAGTGTCGCCCTGATGCACTCAGAATTCAGCATTCCACACGCACACTTGTCTTCATTTGTGGTGACAACATAAGAAAGGTCAATGCCTTCCAAGTCAAACATCGGGTTTTATCTACTCAAATGGTGCTAACTACTTGAATCTGGCTTCTTCATGCCCATCATTTTGAGACTAGAGGCCCAGTGCACGAAATTCATGCACTCTGGGGGGTCCCTCAGGAGTGAACCTAAGCTGTCAGTCAGACATCCTTAGCGCTGCTGTGGAGGTGGGAGAGGCTTCTGCCACTGCGGCTGCACTTGCCATCTGTGAGCCGGGCTTCTGGCTGAGCGGTGCTCCCCCTGTGGGAGTGCACTGACCACCAGTGGGCAGCTCCTGTGTTGAGCATCTGCCCCCCGGTGGTCAGTGCACGTCATAGTGACCAGTTTGTTTTGCCATTCGGTCAATTTGCATATTAGCCTTTTATTATATAGGATGGTCTTTGGTTGATTACTCCCACCCACCCAAGGTTGGGGCTGCAGAGGGATGCAGGAGATTGGCCAGCTGGGGAGGCACCTTGGGATGGCTCCAGGGTCTTGCTCAGTCCCGATAGGACCCCAGCAGCAAGCTAACCTATCAGTTGGAGTGTCTGACCAGTGCACATTATAGCAAGTGGTTGAGTGGCCTTAGCATATCATTAGCATGGAGCCACAGGTGAAGTTAAATCACGTGCTCTCAGTGTTTGTAGGTTAGCTAAGATACTGCTAGGACCCAAGCAAGCTTCAGTGTGGAGGAGGGGAGGGCTGGCCGTGTCATAGTGACTCCTCATCTCATAGACAAGAGGTGGCTTTTCAAACGTTATTGTAGGAGGAGTGGGGGTGTGTATGGGAGCCGACAGAGTAGGAAAGGGAGAGACCACCTTTTCTCACTGGATTGAGAACTCACCATGTGGGATGCACGATTTGTAGTCTTGGCCCAGTTTATACCCCTGTGCACAGCTGCAAATGTAGGAGTCCTGTCCCGGGTGGCAAAAGTGTTGACACCCATCAGTCCTCAAAGGGTGACATTCATTTTTAGCTGAAAAGGAAATAAAGGGAAAACCAGAAGTGCTAACATGGAAATAGCCGTTTTTTAAATTTCCTTGTGCCTTGGGGCTCGGGCTTTTCAGTCCAAATGCTCTCATTCTTTTCAGATTTTTGGTTCCCCATAGAAACACTTCCCACACTTCTGTCTTCAGGAATGCGCATGGAGAAAGCAAAGGTTCAGTGAGTGACAGCCCTTGTATTTGTCCTCAGAAAATGTAACTTGGTCATGGATATATGTGTACATATTGCAAGGCCTTTGCCCACTTTCACAACTTTCACTTCCCGCTTCAGGTGGGGATGTGGGATGGGAGGGTTCTAGTGGGACCCCATGTGGGTGGCTGAGCAGCTGGGATGAGGATCAAAACCTTGCTTTGGCATGTGTTAGGTTTGGGATGGCTGCGAAACATTACGTGGGGCTCTCAAGGTGGCAGTTAGAGGAGAGAGATGGACTTCAGTGGAGAGATCTGAGCTGGGAATCATATTTTTCCCCAGAAAACGGACTCTGTATTGACCAGAGGCATTGAAAGGATTAAGTGAATTTATTTCCATGTCGGATAATTATTGATAGGAAATTAATTTCTTCCCACTCCCGCAAAGAATATTAGTTCATGAAGCTGTAAATCTCACAACCATGCCTACCTCTGAGCCAGCCTGTGTGTGATTCCCCCTTACAGAGGAACCTTTCAGATCCCATCACCCTGCTTGGGGTGGGTCGGGTTCCAGGAATTCTGGAGAGTAGATTGTAAATGGGTTAGGCGGGGCTGGGTTTGGGAGGACTGGGAGGGGACTCTAAGCCGTGGAAACTGTAGGGAGGCGTGTTTGGAAGGCAGGAGGGCCATTCACAGAATGGTTTCCAGTGGAGAATTGGGTTGGAACTAGGTTCCCACGGGCACCCTTTGCTCACTCCTGGGAGCCCATCTCTGTACATTGGGGTGGGTCAGGGTGGCTGGGGGCTCACCGAAGGCGCAGTCCTTGCCCTCATAGCCTGAGGAGCAAGTGCAGGTGTAGCTGCGGATGTTGTCCTGGCAGGTCCCGTTGTTGAGGCAGGGCTGGGAGACGCATGGGGAGCCACCTGCCAAGAGGGATGTGAGAACCTTGTGCAGGTGGAATCATCTAGTTCCTCCTGATGTCCCCTGGATTAGGCTGCCAGGCGCTCCTCATGTGCCCCATGGGGTCCCACCAGCCAGGTGTGCCCATGAGGTTTGTCTAAGTCCCCCTCCTTCGCCTTCTTCTTTCTTTGCTGAGCGACCATGGTGACCGGTGACTGTGGCTGGCTGCCCCAGCTCTTCTAATTCCCCTCATCCATCCCTGTGGCCCTCAGTCACTGTGGTCTTCTGGGGGCTCCTCCTAAAGGGACACCCAGCATCCCCCAAACCTGGGATGAGCTGTCACTTTCCTCAAATTAACCAGGTTCTGACCCTTCAGCAAGAGGCCCCAGGGAGCCTGTGAGGCCCCAGAAATGAGAGGAGCGGCTCAGGATGGGGACCTTCTGGCCTCTGCCACCCGAGCCCCCAAGGGAGCGTCTCCCTGACTCCCCTGGACCTTGGGAACTTTCCTACCCTTCTCCTTATCCTTGTTCTCAGGGAGTGTCCAGATGCCTACGTGTGAAACGTGGAAAGCCTTACCTCATCTTAAGGAAAAAGAAGAGGAAATAATCCCTGCAAGAGTTGAGGCCACTTACCCATATAACGTTGCCAAAATTCATCCTGTAAAATTAAAATATAAAAGGGTTGCAAATAGATGATTTTTAACAATATTTTCTCCCATAGATTGACTTAAAGATAACAAGTGTTGATTTTATCCACTTAATAGAAAAATACTGGTTGAAACAGAGAATGCAAAAATTGTCTACTTAATATTCTATTTAATATACATGGAACATTTCCCATTTCACGTGTACTTTCTGTAACCCATTTAAGGAAGGAGAAATAATAGTCTGTGATGTGGCACAAACACCATGACCATGGCCTCCCAAGGTCACCTTCCCCTCCTCCAGGGGCACAGTTTTCACTCATGTCCTTTTCTACAGAGTGCATGATGTGGATACAAAGCACTAACACCACTTTTTTATAAGCCAATGAAACAACAATCAAAAGTGGATATGTGTATGTGTAAGGTTAGTTTGGGTGGGGGGTATCTAAAATTAGGATAATTACTCGTAATTAAAGCCTAGAACGTAAACAAGTGGTTGCCATCTCCCAATCATACTTGGACTTGTAACAACCTGAATGATTTCAAATTAAGAGGACAATTTTCCGGATGGACCTAGAGGGTAGTATGCTAAGTGATAGGCCAGACAAAGACAAATATTATATGGTTTCACTTATATGTAGAATCTAAAGAACAAGATAAATGAACAAAGAAAACAGAAACAGACTCATAGATGCAGAGAACAGGCTGACAGTTGCCAGGTGGGAATGGGGTTAGAGCAGCCGTGGGCAAACTACGGCCCGCGGGCCGGATCCGGCGTTTGAAATGAATAAAACTAAAAACAAAAAAAGACCTTACCCTTTTATGTAATGATGTTTACTTTGCTTTTATATTAGTTCACACAAACACTCCATCCATGCTTTTGTTCCGGCCCTCCGGGCCAGTTTAAGAACCCATTGTGGCCCTAGAGTCAAAAAGTTTGCCCACCCCTGGGTTAGAGGGATGGGAGAAAAAGGTGAAATGATTAAGAAGTACAAATGGATAACACTGGCTGAGTGGCTCAGTTGGTTGGAGTGTCACCCCATACATCAAAAAGTTGAGGGTTCGATCCCCAGTTGAGGTATGTACAGGAGGCAACCAATCAATATTTCTCTTTCACTTCTCTCTCTCTCCCTCTCTCTCAATCCCTTTCTCTCTCTCAAATCAATAAAAACATATCCTTGAATGAGAATTTTTTTTAAAAAGTTGTACAAATTGGTAGTTTCAGAGTAATCATGAGGATGTAAAATACAGCATAGGGAATATAGTCAATAATATTAATAACATTGCAATAATTATGTAGGGTGTTAGATGGGTACTAGATTTATTGGGAGAACACTTCCTAAATTATATAAGTATCTAACCACTAGGATGTTCATCTGAAAATAATATAAAGTAATACTGAATGTCAACTGTAATTGAAAAATAAGAAAACCCCACAATTTTCCTTTAACCAGGAAGTTTTAATTTCTCCTAGTTTTATAAAAGATGGTCTATTTCAGAAGAGTTCTCTCATATATAAACTTAGAATATCTAAAATTAGAATAATTACTAGGAACTAAAGCCTAGAGTGTAAACAAGTGGTTGTCACCTTCCAATCATACTTGGACTTGTAACAACATGAATGATATCAAATTAAGAGGGCATAGCTAAGCATGCAAGAAACAGTGATTTTAAAAAAATATACTAGGGAAACAGGTCGATATTTTATTCAGAATAACTTTAAATATTGCTACTGTTATATGTAAAACTAGGAGATCTTTATTAAATATTTTACGTATTAGACCTGTCAGATTTGACTGGCTTCTCTATCTTCTGGTAAACTTATGAATAAGCAAGAATTGTTTGCCTCTATTATTTAGAGTATACATATAGTCAGTTTTAATCCAAATTATAGATGAAGAGAGATATTTTTACTATGTAGACACTCTGGAGAGGCTTTTTGTTCCTTAAAAATCTGTTGATATATTGAAGCAATTAGGTCTCTATTAAAAATGTCAAATTCTGTCAGCGACATGACAAGCTGACTGATGGTTGTGATGAGTAAGCTAATCAGTGTGGTAATGTGCTTAATCAGAAGAAGGTGTTTAGGGGTGTGGAACTGAGTTAGTATCCTACGTACTAGATGGGAAAATTATTTCACTTCTCTGTCTCTGTTTCCTCATCAGTAAAATTAGGATTAAGTTAGCCTCACAGGTAAGTAAAAAGGTCATTAATTTAGCTTTGTCTTTTTGAGAAATTATGCCCTCTCGGGCAGCAGAAATTGGAATACTCAGAAAGTGTGTGAGTTCATGGTGAGGGTACATACAGTGGTCTCATCAACTTCAAATACTTCTCTTGCTTCTTCATAGACACAAATTTCTTCATAACATTCCTTTTCCAAATTTCCCTCAAAGATCTCTTCCAAAAGATAGGAGCCAGCACGCTTCCATCTTACCAGAACGTCACTTGCTTTGGAGGCAGAAAGAAATACTATGGAGCAAGATAAGAATGGAGATGCCGTCAGCAGTGATGGACTTCCCCAGGGATTGCCATGCCCGCTCCTGGGAGTCAGAGTACATGGCGCTGCCTCTACCTGAGGCCTGGGTGCCTCCTCTCCTGTCCCCATCAGACCAGGTCCAACCTCTCGATTCTTTCGGGCCATCTCTTCTGGGAGGACCCCAAGGGATCCCATCATTTCCAACATATTTGTCATGAATTATAAAGAGATCAGGAAGCTCTTTTGGGAGCCGAGTGAAGACCCGCTGGCCACCCAGGGGCTCCTCTGTCCTAGAAAAAGCCCCCGAACCAAACCCACACGGTCCTGGAGGACACAGTTAGGAGGGCGACACCCACCTGAGGGCTCAACGCCGTGGAGGCCCAGGAGAAGCAGGAGCAGCCGGACGCAGCCCGCCATTCTGACAGTGGCCCAGAGACAGGTCTGCAAACACAGGGGCCAAAGTCTGCCCAGGCCTCTTACAACACAGGGAAGCTGCTTGCTTAAATGACCACCAGCCCTAAAATGTGGAGCCAAGCAGGGGACAGGGGGAGAAAACGGGATAAGAAGTGTCTTCCGCTAAGAGGACATTTTGCCTGGAATTTTATTGGATTCATTCAATGTTTCATTTTTTTTATTGTTTTATCTCTTAAAGTATTACAAAGAGTATTATATATGTCTCCTTTTTTTTTCTCCTCTTGACCTTCCCCTGGCCTCCCATATCCCCCAGTGTCTTGTGTCCATTGGTTATGCTTATATACATGCATACAAGTCCTTTGGTTGATCTCTTATCCAACCCACAACCCTCCCTGGCCTTCCCGCTGTAGTTTGACAGTATGTTCGATGTTGCTCTGCCTCTGTATCTATTTTTGTTCATCAGTTTATAATGGTCTTAATTATCCATAAATGATTCAATGTTTTAAGTGTATGCTTCAGTTTTATACTTTTCTGTTTAAGGCAAAGAGGGGGAAAAAAGGCAGAGAAAGGAAAAGCCAAAGCAAAGAGGGCCTTGGTGAGGAGTTTAGGTGCCAGCGGGATAGACTCCTTGGGGGTGAAGTCAGGAGGCCCTGTCCCAGGAGATGGGGTGATAGCCCTGGGGAAAGCCGGGCCATCCTTGCACACGTGCACAGCCAGGTGTCCTGGGCCTGGGCCTGGAGCCCACGTTCTAGTGTGGGGGGGAGGGGGAGAGAGGGAGGGAGAAATAAGGTCACGTTTCTCTACCAGGAGAAGGGCAGATCAGCGGGTACAGAGCCATAGGGGGGCTATTTCAGACAAGCCACCCACGGAGGCTCCCTTTGGGAGAGGAATCTGAACACAGGGAGCCTCAAGAGCCTTACAGGGCAGGGCACGAGGGTGTGTGTGACTGAGAAAGACACTCAAGGGCTGGAGGTAGGAACGCTGCTGCCTGGCGCCCAGCAAGGAGGTCAGAGTGGGAGGGCGCCCACAGGAGGGCAGCAGAGCACCTGAGCGCATAGGCTGGCAGCT